GTTATGTCACGCCCCGGACCTACCCGGACACGTCAACAACCCGCCGTACAGTACGAATAGTCAACCGCAGTCCGACTCATCCATACTATACCAGGCGTCTTGAATATCATTCACACATAGTACATCCATAAACAAACATAATGTAAAATAAACATTTATAGCAGCGGAAACATTTAACGTAAGTGTTTGTGCCACACCTTGGCAATCATGGGCGTACAAGCCCCCAAATAATTATTCAAAAAACAATATCCATGAGCATTATTTAAGTTGGTTCAAAACAGAAATGAAAGAAGCACGAACCACGTCTTCTCCCTTTGATCTTCCCGAAGCAACGGGCGGTGGCAGCAACCTTCAAGTTCTACCTGAAACTGTGAGGTGGCCTCCCCCGTGAAGGGGAGGTCAGTACTTGGAAATATTTGACAAGTACAATAGCAACTATACTAAGTATAATTGATGTTTTAAATTTCTAAGACCCTCGACTTAGGGTACTATTATATTATAGGCCATAACCCTCGGTTACCCCTTTTTCTTTTAACTGTGCTTACTTTATATAGAGTCAAGTAGTCGGCCCGTGGGCCCATATTCATTTAGAATTCATCATTTCCATTCCCCCGTGACCGCAAGTCACGATAACCCCGTGGGGTCCCATCGAGCCCCAATTGTATAGCATGGGCTCGGCCCAACTACATTTCTATACAATCCTCTAACTCGATATAACATATCAAAATTTGTATGGCAAGGGCTCGGCCCAACTACGTTTCCATACCAACCATAACTTCGTGGCAAAGGCTCGGCCCAACTACGTTTCCACGGAGATCACATATACATGGCAAGGGCTCGACCCAACTACGTTTCCATGCTAATCATATTACATGGCATGGGCTCGGCCCAACTACATTTCCATGTCATCCTAGAGTCCAACTCTAATTATCTTCATAATCAAATTCTCAAGCAAATCCTATGCCTAGAATCAATTCCCGTAGGTGGCCTTTAGGCCTACCCCTATCACACCTTAGTGTTCATACAATTCAACCTTAAGTATCTCTTGAGACTACTTAAGGCATATCTATTCAAAATCCTACCTCTTAGGATTTGTTTCACCATTTATTTATATTAATTCCCCGACTAGTATTTTGATACTAATTGTATAATCTTAGAACATGCCAAGTTCCTATTTTCCATTTGGCATTTCATTTCAATTGATTTCCCAACCCAAGTATAGTTTGATCTCAATATCAAAAATATCACTTTAATCCATTCATGAATTTTCATACATGAAGTAAAGTATATTTTATCACAATGTCATCATAGTAATTCCATTAACATGTCGTTCCATTCATTTCACATAATCATACACAATTATTCTAAATTTGTATATCATGCTGCACTTACTCATATCCATATTATTTTCATTCAGGCATTATTAATCATTAATAATCCATGAAAATCCCATCTAATTACTTTAGGCAATCTTATGAAATTAACTCACTAATTATAAGCAATATAGTCAGCCATCCTCACCTTATGATGTGCTCAACTAGCTGCGTTAGCGAAACCCCCTCGATCCGTCCTCGTTCTAGGCCGTTCAAGACTGGGAAATCTGAGAATAGGGCGAAAGCCGGGCGGCTTTCGTGAAAGCCGGGCGACGTTCGTCCTCCTGCAACACGAACAACCTCCTATATGTGGCGGTTTCCGGCGATTTCGACTCCTATCGACCCACCAACTCTTCTAAGTTAAATATCACCACTTTATATCAATATCCTACACTTTTAAACGTGTAGAACATCGTGTTTAACCCACCAAATGATTTCTTAATAAATCATTCATGATAAAACTAGTTACAAGAGTTTTCTTGTAGAGTTCTTACCTTGAACTCAACTCCTTTTTGTTAGATCTTTTCCCCTTGCTTCCCTGAGCTTGAACTTTGATAGAGGCCTTCCCAGAGCTCCTCTCCTACCTTATTTGAGTGGTGAGGATGATGCAAATGATGGGGGGACATCTCATCTCAATCCCTCCCACTTATTCAATGGAATGGGGTCATGAGTTTTGTCTCTTGGAGACTTCCCACCTACTAGGTACACCCCCCAGCTGCTTCCTTGTCATTTGCAGCACATTGGGTCGTGGGGTGGCCCCCACTCATGTGGGAGGTCATCCCATTATATCCCGGTGTGTATAATTGGCCCCGAAAGTTGTATTTTTCGGACTACTTTAGTCATACTTTATTTTATCGGACCAAATAAAATATATCACGCGTTCCCAATAATTATGGGCCTTTAGAATAGATGTACATTCCCCAACATTAATTTTGGAGCCTCCGAAACTCATTTCGGGCTGTTATCCGCTAAATTACCAATACCGGTAATTGGGCCCCGTTTGACCGACCACTCAACTCCATGCCTTTCTTATGGCCCAAATAGGATATCCATCACCATATAGATGCTCATGTCCATCTATATATAAGAAAAGATATAGCTCTGTCAAATACCATTTTGCCCCTCCTTATGCACACATGTTGCTCATTCCACGGTTCTTGAATGGCGCTGATTCATTTTCATCTTCCAAAAATAATAATAATAATAACACATCCAGTTTCCGTTTTATCTTCTTTCTGCGCAAGAAAGACAAGATTTAACGCCAAGCTATGTTAACACCCTGCGATTTCAACGCCAAGCGATGTTAACGCCTTGCGATTTCAGGCGCTGATTGCTTACGTTTAGAACTCTCCATCTTAATCGTATGCGATAATATAGGGCCGACCTCTTCACCGAAACTAGGAAACCTCCAAATCACAACGCCACTATATATAGATGCGGATCTACATTGGATCTTCATACTTTCACTGCCACAATGCGAGAGGTACTATCTCTATCTAATTCTTCATCTCTTCAATTCTCCGTTCTGTAATCTAATACTCTACTACGTAATACTATTGCCTTAACTTTACATGAGGTTGTATCCTCATTCTCCACTTGAACAATAAAAACAATTTAAAAAATAACATTCCAAATTAATAATGATGATAACATCACCTCCTAAACGGAAGTAAAATATAACAAAATTCCTTAAATAGAAGTGTCAAAGCTTTCATTGTAAAATAAAACTCTGTTCATTCATATTTGAAAAGTTAATATTTTACTTTTCAAAAGGATTAAATAAATTTTATTTGGAGAATAAATCATATTTAGTCATATTTTAGAAGACAACATATTATTTCTTATTAATCGCAAATACTCTCAATAATTTCCGTTTTCGTTAATAATAATAAACACTAAAGTTCGTGAGAATGTAAATTTAGAAAAGGCTGTTACCTTAAAATAGGAGACAAATTACTCCGAAATGAAAAAGTAGGAGTATACTCTTTTTATTCACAAATAAAAAGTAATATATGTTCCATCTTCCTAACTTATTTTATCATTGACAAAATAATAAGCTGTATTTATAATAAAAACAAGAAAACAACAAAAATATAATATACTATAGTATATTTTAATAAAAAATGTAAAAAGTAAAATAAAAAATTAAAAAATAATTAAAAACCTTTAAAAATATAAATAAAATACAACAAAATATTACGTTGAAAAAAATATGTAGGCCTTTGCCGCTGCATCTTTCAACTCCTAGCACCGCCACCCCCGATCGCCAGAAAATGTCATCTTGTATTAAAATCGTCACATATCTTTGAAAATGTAACAGTGATGACATTTTTACTATTTGAAAATATCCAACTTTACTTTCAAAACTGTCATCACGAAGGTGCGACGGCCGCTGGGTCTGAGGCTGCGCGCGGCGTCGACGGCAACCTCCGAAGGTGCGACGGCCGCTGGGTCTGAGGGTGCGCGCGGCTTCGACGGCAACCTCCGAAGGTGAGCGGCGGACGGACGACGTCCCTCGACGTCTTCGACGGCAACCAAGGTCAGCGGAGGAGCGGCGGACCGGAGGAGCGACGACGACGGCGTAGGGTTTCTATTCCCAGAAAAATCTATTATCTGCTGCGAGCGACCCGCGGCTATGGCCGCATAAACTGTTCCAGTTTATGCGACGCTTTTTACAAAAAGGCGTCGCACGCCCCTTTTAAAAATCCGATTTTTTTAAAAAAGTAGTTTATTTTCTGCGGCGCTTTTTACAAAAAGGCGCCGCACACCCCTTTTAAAAATCTGAATTTTTTAAAAAAGTAGTTTATTTTCTGCGGCGCTTTTTACAAAAAGGCGCCGCACGTCCCTTTTAAAAATCCGATTTTTTTAAAAAAGTAGTTTATTTTCTGCGGCGCTTTTGAAATATAAGCGCCGCCTAGGAAATCGGAACACGTATGCGGCGCTTTTTGCATATAGGCGCCGCACGCCTCTTTTAAAAATCCGATTTTCAAAAAAATTTATTTTTTTTTGAATAAAAATTTGACGTCAGTCTGCGGCGCTTTTATAAATAAGCGCCGCAAAGACCCGAAAAATTAAATAATTAAAAAATTAAACACATATTAGATGCGCTTAAAGAGAAAAGCGCCGCACGTCGTATATTTTGAAGGCGCTTGTTTATTAAGCGCCTCAAATGACGTGACGCAATTTAACAAATTTTTACTAGTGTGGCTATGCTAGAAAGTGGCTGAGGTGGTGATTGAGACTTCTATTTACTTTTTACTTTTTATTTTAATGTTTTAAGGTTTAATTACGGGAAAATTCCCGAAATAGGAGGTAAAAAGTTTGAAAATTCCAAAATAGAACTGACATGTTTTTATTCTCAAAATAGGATTGATTACTTCTAAATATGAAAATTACTGTCATATTTAAAGTTTGGTACTGTTAAAACATAGTACTCCGTAATATTTAGTCCCATTTCGAGAATAAAAAACATGATAACCTGAAAGTTAGTCCTATATAGGATAATTTTCCGTTTTATCATTTAGTCGTTTTATCATTAATATTTTAAAAAACGAGAAGAAAATACATTGCACTATGGCAGTATACAAAAATCACTACTATTTTGGAAAGCTAGACCGTAAATTCCTATTTTTGTAATTTTGCTTTTACTCCGTATTTATTTGTGTTGGGGAAATTGACTGAAAAAAAAATTGTGAACTTGCGAGAACTTCCGTTCCTGGTAGTGTGACACTCATAGAGACGCTGTCGACATCGATAAATCATTTCGCATTTTGTTCCCCAAACTAGGGCTCCATTCTTTTCATAATATCTCCAAGGTTCATGCGTTATTCGTTATCACCTTCAATAGTGAGTGCGGATTGTTGAATTGTGAGAACTTGTTGGCCTAGCCGGACCGAATTTGTGCTTAATCTCTGATGAATACGCGAGGGAGGTATCCACCCGGGATTGGGAACGGTCGTGGCGGTGGCGGCAGCGGTTACGGTGGGGGCGGAAGCGGTTACGGTGGGGGCGGCTTCCGGTCAAGTCAAAATTCTGGCGGATATAATCAACCAAGAAACCATCATAATCACTACACGCAGCAGCAGCAACACCCTTCTCAACCCCAGCAGTATGGTCAGCGGACCTTGCAGAACCAGTCGCAACAGCAACAGCACCAGCAATGGTTGAGGCGGAACCCTAGTGCTTCTATGTCGGAATCTACCTCTAACCAAATCTTGAAAAATATACAATCTGAAGCTACTGATACGAGGTATATAGTTGTCACTTTTAAATGTGTTCTCAGAAGACTTATTTTGGTATGGCGTATTCGTTTCTTTGTTAACTTAATGAGTAATTTGAGGAATTGAAGGTCATTTCTTGTTTAGGAAACTGGGCCAAAATTAAATAATACAAAAATGTCATGAATATGTATAGAGATTAGAAACATAGACCAGATAAGGATGGCTTTTCAGAACTCCAAACAATCATTGAACTTCACTGGGTTTTATTATGCTCTCTATATCTAACGATCTCAATGCACAAGAAAATTAGTGCATAGAAATACTAGGATCCTATTTTTTATAAATTAAAATAAGAACAATACATAATTAAATTTGACTGGTCCTATCTCCGCTTTTAAGAGCAGTTCTGCCCATGCCCAAAGTTCTCTAGTCTAACCTATGTTACAAGAACCGGACCGGCGACCCGCCACCCAACCCGGTTCAGTTGCCTATCAACCTGCTAATCCACCCTAAACTGGAAACAACCGGAAAACTGCTCTAACCCGGATTATACCTGGGACGGCCGAAACTCGAAGGAACCGGAAATTGTCTGAAAAGTCAAGCAACAACAAATTTACACACACGGGAATCGATCCTTGGTGCATCCTCTGGCTCAGTAATTAACAAATCAATCCGCCAACTTGATGAGTTGAACCTTTTCATGTCTAAAATTGGATTATACGCTATATACCTTTCCTGTATATTTAACATGATAATTTAAAATATAATCATTTATGATTTAATGCATACCCCATAATAAATATACTAATGCATATTATTGCTATATTATACTCCAATATTGTATAGGTTGTACAATATCCCAAATATAAGTGAAAGTATTTATAGAATTCTAAGATTTGCAATTATATTTATTTTTATTTTTGGAAAGATATGTAATACGGAGTATATTTTAATGTTCATTCTGGATATCAAGTAACATTATTGATTCATATAGGATAAAAACTATATTTTAAAATATTATGCATGTGTTTTCAATGTTTAAAAAGTACTCCGTATTAAACTTATTTTATTATTGTGAAAAATAAATACCATTTTATTTAAATTTTATACTACGTGTATTGTTATATATTACCTCTGTCCTAGAAAGAATTTCCCACTTTCTTTTTTGGATGTACCAAAAAGAAGCTCTCATATCTATAAAAGGAAACTACTTTTGAGCAAAAACTCACAACTACCTTTACTTTTTGCCTACTCTTTGCTTGATTTGACATAAAGCAAGAGTACACTTGGAACGTCAAAATAAAACATTACCTTATATAAATGTGTATAGGTCAAACCGGGAACTTCATTTCGGGACGGATGGAGTATTTATTACTATAAAATTTTATAAACGTTTACTGGGTCTTCCCAGAGTTGACCGGGTTGACCCCCCGGATCTGGGCTGACTCGACAACTCCTGACCCAGTCGCCCAGCCAGGTCGCTTCCCAGTCCGTTCTTATAACAGAGTCTAACCAGTAGTGTTCCAGGTAGATTTCCGGGTCACCGAAGGCTATTTTTTGTGTACTTCTGGAACACTCTACAGCCAGTTCTTGATTTCTTGTCTAGACATCTAAATCCCCAAATCATTCTAAACCTCTAATATTTGTGTATTTCCATTTTGTAACAGTGTGCCATGTTCATGTTTGTTTGGTGACCTTGGTGATTAGAGTTTCCAGCATCAGGTCTTTGATAGAAAATGAAAACAATAATAATCTGTACCAAAGTTGTTTCTGGGCATTGTCCATCTAGGTCATTTACTATAATTATGATCTATGATACAGCATTGGGCACTTGGCAATAATAATGATGTCTTTAAGCTCTATTTTCAATTCTGACTTTTTTCAAGTTCAATAATTCATTCATCACTATTTAAAAATTTATTTAGATATTTTCGCTTACTACCTCCGTCTTTTAGTTGCAACATGTTGAAATTTACACTATTTACATGTTCAACATCAACTACATTTTATTTATTAATGTATTATAAATTTATTTTTTGAAAGATATTGTTAAATTCCTCTCATTTTAACATTTTAAGATCTGTTTTTTTTACTATAAGAAATGAAATATATCAATGGTCAAACTTATGCATTGCTAAACGTGAAAATAGAAGCGTTGCAACTAAAAAAGAACTGAGGAATTATGATTCATAGAAATTTTATTATTGGGAATGAGCTCACAATTCTCTTCCTCATTTGTGGCACTAAACACTCATCTCAAACCTCTTCTACACTCCTGTTAGCACCCCGTGACTTTGCTGGCATGTGGTTGAGATATTTTAGAAGGGCAATAGGGAGGATGAAAAACCACTTCAGTTGTTTCTGCCAGGCTGGCACTTAACCTACCCATGGAGCAAACTGTTGGGTCCTATGACTCCTATCGGGATAGGTAGGCCCACCAAGCCTTTCCCCTCATATAGCGAATATATATGTTGAATTAATAACAGAATGGGTTTAAAAAAGAAAATCAGTAATCCCTCATGGTGTACCCACCAAAAGACACATATTTGTGATGAGCCTTCAACATCTATCCATTCCATGTTCTAGATGAGCGTATACTCTAAATGTACAATTGCCTTGTAATTTTGAATTTGAACATGCACGTGATCATGCTTATATTCAATGAAACACGGAAACATTAAAGGCTGAGAGTTTCTCCGTTTCAGAAACGTGCCTACGTTTCAGAGTGCAAAAAAGGCAGGAAACGCGTATCAGGGATGTTGCTGTAAATTCCTAAAATAAAGAATCAGGTTTCCCCCAAAAGAAGAGTTTCAGAAACGTTAGGAAACAAATAGGAAACTGTTTTGGTTTCGAACTCCTATATATAAAAAATTCTCAAAGATATAACTGTTTGTCCAATCCGCTGAAACGGGGAATGAGAGAAGCCCTGTTCTACAATTCCTCTCTTGTCTACTAATTTCCGTCACTAGGAGCTCCTTCCCCCTTCCGGTGAGTCGCCATCACCTAGACATCTACTCTTTTTGGTTTCCGTCACTAATTGCTATATTTGTATTTAGTGTTTTACACTGTTGCTATGTTGGAATTCACAGCGGTTTTAATCGAATTGCTGATAATTGAATAAAAAGACTTAGAGAAAGGAAAGATAGGGAAATATGATTAGTGGCTTCTGTTGCTGTACTGCCTGACAGCCTGAGTGCATGACACGATGCATTTATAGTTTTATCTTAATTACTTAATTAAGTTAATTTAATTAGTGATTAGTGATGTGCGCATGCAATGAGATACACTTTGTTACTTTTAACTCCAATTTTTTGTGAAGTTTGGAATCAATACTGTAAGCACTAAACGTAGCTACAAATGGTTACTTTTAACTTTTTAAGAAGTAATTATGAATTTATTCTTTGAATCATAGTATATTGGTCATTTGGTAAATAACAAATGTTAATTCATTTATGTTTCTTAGATATAATACATTATTGTTTGAAAATTTCTATATCTGATATTTATTGAAAAATGCCTATATTTTTATATTTACGTGTTTTCCCCACATTTGTTCCCTACTTTTTTTGAAAATGTCATTTCTTGTGTTTCCTGCTTCGCGTTTCCGTGCTACATAGCTTATATAATTATTTAATAATACTCTCTTCTTGCATTTGGATTTTGCTTTACTCAGCTCTCAAGATTGGAAGGCTAGGCTCAATATACCGCCACCTGATACTCGTTATCAGACCGAGGTGTGTTGAAACTTTTAGTCATCTTGTATCATCCATTGAATGTTTTTTTTTTAAAATTAGAAGCAGGTTTATATATGGCCACATTCACACTTTGCTATTTTCCGGGTCAAGGTTGGAAATGCTTAAACTAGCAGCAAGGCATTTTCCTAACTATACAAGGAGTATGCTTCAAAGCATAACAGGCATAAACCTTACCTGCTTAATATTAATTATAAATATAGTCCTAAATAAAATATATGAATCCTTAGTGCATAATACAATAACAAGTATAAGTACTCTCCCCGTCCCATTTTCTGTCCCTTACTTTTCTTTTTGGGTTGTCTCAAAATAAATGTCATATTTTCTTTTTTGGCAAGAAATATGTGGTTCATATAATTTCACTTTATTCTACTCAAACTTCAACCACGACTTTTACTTTCCAACCACTTTATTAATAATTGTGCCAACTGCCAAACCAAAACAAGACTCTTATAATGAGACAGAGGTAGTACATTCGGTACATAATAAAGTTCTAGAATTCATCAAAATAACAAAATGTTCCAAACTTTAAACCAAGTTACCTGAAACTCTTAATACTTAAAGTAGACATTCTGTTTAGGAAATCAAGCAAACAAACTCAAAAGGTAAAAAAGCCATCTTTGTTCTTTCCTGTTATTCTAGTTGAGCGATTCACTAAAAAATGAAGACGAATTGCTGAGGGAATGTCAAATAGGCTCTGGAGTTTGGGCTGCTCGGATGGGTGGTTTGCCGTCCTGGTTAAGTAAAAGTAGATCTAGTTTTTAAAAGAAAGTATTAAATTTGTTTATTTCAGAAAAGTAGACCTTACGCTCTGAAATGCTCAGAGAAAATGTTTAATTAACCCAAGGCAGCCCTATAATATAGTTGTGTCATTGTGGACCGGGATTTGTTAAAAAAGAAAGCCTATTTCTGGAAAAGAAAACCCTTGCACCTCTGGCACCTCATGAGGCTTCAGAACTCACTCCTCAAGCACTCATGGAGTACAAACTGCCGTAGCAGAGAGACTTAATCCTCAGCCTTCCAGGTGATCTTCTGGCGTTCTCAGGGCATGTCTCGAAGCGTGCACCTCGTTGGCCTTTTAAATCCATGATATGGGTCTCTTTGAGCTGTGGAAGTCATTTTAGTGGTGTCCAATCATTTACACTTAACTATAACCTGAGATCTATTTATTTTTTATCAGCTTGATGAGACCTGATTTTAGTGCTATGTATGCCATGTTGCCAACATCTGTCTGGTATCAAATTTTGTTGTGGGAACTGGGGCGTGAATTCTGCTTTTCTTTTCTCCAGGATGTGACTGCGACAAAAGGAAATGAGTTTGAAGATTACTTCTTGAAACGTGAGCTACTTATGGGGATATATGAGAAAGGATTTGAAAGACCTTCTCCCATTCAGGAGGAGAGTATCCCGATTGCACTTACTGGCAGTGACATTCTTGCTAGAGCTAAAAACGGAACTGGAAAAACTGCTGCCTTTTGTATTCCTGCACTAGAGAGAATTGATCCAGATACCAACGTCATTCAAGGTATATACTTTTAATTTCAGCATGCTTTTTGTATAAAATTTAAGTTTGGGCTTGAGAAAGAAAACATGTAAGTGCACCTTTTAAAAAGGTTCAACAGAGAGCAATCTTTTTCCTTTTATAGTTAGACAGTGGCACGATAATATGCTGCCAATCAGTTTTCTTTTTTATCTTTCGTAGTTTCGTGCTATTGTTTATTTTGCAAGTAACCTCCATACCTCAACTTATGATCCAACATTTGAAAATGCAGTTGTAATACTGGTCCCTACTAGAGAGCTGGCACTTCAGACATCTCAAGTTTGTAAAGAACTTGGTAAACACTTGAAGATACAAGTGATGGTTTCTACAGGAGGAACTAGTTTGAAAGATGATATCATGCGATTGTATCAACCGGTCCATTTGCTTGTTGGAACTCCTGGAAGAATTCTGGACCTTGCGAAAAAGGGCATCTGCATTTTGAAAGACTGTACAATTCTTGCTATGGATGAGGTATACTAACAAAGATAAATGATATCATCCCATCATTCCCATGTTTCTGTTTTACTGCCTTAGTTTTACTGCACGTCATGGATGATTTAAAGTATCAACAAGGATAGATCATAAGCCCTGTATATGATTAGCTTACCTTATAACAACCATTCTTTCAGATTATTGTCATTTGTGACTACCTTTTTCCTTGTCATGGATTTTTACCTAGTGATTCGTGGGTTATGTGTTTGTGTAGCTCAATTATTTAATATAGTAAAAGAGCTTTGTGGACTAATGAAATGCCCACACGTCCAAATAATGATATGGCTATTGGTTACCACCACCATCCATTTCTTAAGAATGTCACCTGAACCTCCTATTTTGATTTCCTGAAGTTTATGATGTTCTACAAGGCTATAACTTATACCTTTTCCATATTTTCTCATAGAAAGTTATTGTAATACAGTGACACACCATTAAATAGTTAACTGCTCGATAATGAGGATGTAATTGCCCGAAACAAATTTACCTTGTTTTTCACATTTAAGTAACTTGGTACTCAATTACTGTCCACAGTCCACTAGATCAATTTCACGCATTTACCCTGTAAACATTGTATGAGTCAATCTATACAATGGTACGTAGTACATAATTTTCTGCATTTCAAACCCTTCATGTGTATTTTGTAAAGCATAGGTTGGTGGAATTTAATTGTATATTTTAAAGTATATGAGATATAGGTCATATCCTCAACCCCTAAAAGTTAATGGATTTTTGTTCCAGGCTGATAAACTATTATCCCCCGAGTTTCAACCTTCCGTGGAGCATCTAATTAGCTTTTTACCTGAGCACCGGCAAATTTTGATGTTTTCCGCTACATTTCCAGTGACTGTCAAGGATTTCAAAGATCGATATCTAAAAAAACCTTACGTTATTAACCTAATGGATGAGCTTACTCTCAAAGGTATAACACAGTATTATGCTTTTGTAGAAGAGAGACAAAAGATCCATTGCCTCAATACCCTTTTCTCCAAGGTATGATCTTCAACATAAAAATGAGTTCGGTTGTTTTTTTTGCTATGGATTCCTATTACTAATACTTCTCTTTACAGCTGCAAATCAACCAGTCAATCATTTTTTGCAACTCTGTAAATCGAGTGGAACTGCTTGCAAGGAAAATTACAGAGCTTGGTTATTCTTGCTTTTATATCCATGCTAAGATGCTACAAGACCATAGGAACAAAGTTTTTCATGACTTCCGAAATGGTGCATGCAGGAATCTTGTCTGCACTGGTATCTTCTTGATGAGCTCCTTTTATTGTTTTGACTTGTAGGCTGTACGTTGGTATGCAATGGAAACTAATCAGCCGACTTTTACATACACAGATTTATTCACCCGTGGTATAGATATTCAAGCTGTGAATGTTGTCATAAATTTTGATTTCCCTAAGAACTCAGAAACTTATCTGCACAGGGTATGTGCAATCATTTCAATGTGGTTTTGTTTCTTGTTTTAGGAATTTTATCGATTCAAGACACAGAAGGTATCTTACCTATCAATTTAGGGTTGAAAGATGAACTGTAGAAAAGATGAAGCATCAATTTAAGACTTAAAAATAATGAAATTTGATTCTTTATTTTTCTTTATGTAATGAAGTCTTCATTAAATTTAATAGATGAACCCTGAAGGACTTGAGTGAAATTGACAAAAAATAATTACAAATAATGAGGAAAATCGTTGGTGTCTTGGATGGATACTTTAAATCATTCAGAAACTTGATTGATTCCAGGTCCCTTGTTTATAGCTAATATATCTTCTGCGAAACTGAGTCGATATAATTCCTTTCTTGTTTTTATTATGTTGCTTGAAATCACATTACAAGAATGTCCATTGGTTTGTACTGATTAGGTGGGCCGTTCAGGAAGATTTGGGCATCTTGGATTAGCTGTGAATTTGATTACCTATGAAGACCGTTTCAATTTGTATGTATTTTATATTGCTTTAAGTTATTTCCTGATGGCCGCATGCAGTATAAATATCTGATTGTTTTCATAATTCATAATTCCTGATGAGCCTTCTTTTATTCATAGGCACAAGATTGAGCAAGAACTTGGGACTGAAATAAAACCCATTCCTCCCAATATAGACCAAGCCATTTACTGTGCTTAATATATGGAGATAAGTTGATTATTGAGAGATAAATATCAGGTAAATCTTGCATTTTGCCTTATCATGTTGCATATTTTAAGACCACGACTTGCACTTCTAGGTTTTTGGCTCCAGGGATGTGGTTATAAATATGATCAGGTAGGCAGGGAGATGATTAAGGGGAAATGATTTCCCCCAATAGGATGGATATGGGAGTTCTTTTTTAATTGCAATTTATGTAATTTCTGAACCCTTTTGTTGTACACTTTTCTTGGAGAATTGGGATCACGACTTGGTTGTTGTTGCTTTTGTTTTTCATGGAGAGTGCTGTTGTATGGGTGACAAATGGATGATTTGGACAAACTCTTTTTAGGATTATAATGATTTGGACAAACTCTTTTTCCCATATAATGAATTAAACATTTAACAATAAAAATCCTTCCTTCCATGATCTATTTTACTAATTCAATCTAATTCATCCATTAAAAATTCTTTCATGGATGGATATGCAATCCATCAATTTTATTTTCGACTTTTATGCAGAGACGAGTAGGCAATGCATATAATGACAATTTATCACATCTAGATTATATACGTAGTAGTAAATTAGTAATGAAAAGAGATTTAAGCTCTCTTCCTCTTTGACACCCAAAAATTCAACTACTTGAGATGACTTGGTCCTGCCCCCCCAAAGACCCCCCTCCCTGGTTCCTTCTCAGCGTGGAAGCCTCTGCTCTTTCCCTAGGGCCCTGAGTGATGCTGCTTTGCCTGTCTAAAGGCTTTCGCTGTTGTCGCCAGAGTAGAGATTTTGTAGTTGTTGGCACCGGGTTTATACCCCCTCCTCCCTGTCACAGGCAGAAAATACGGTGGCAACACCTCTGATCATGTAAAATGCAAAGGGAAAACTATCAATTTTGTCTTCGTACTATCACAAAAACGTCAATTAAGACCCCGTACTGATGGTACTGTTAAAAAAATCAATTAAACCCTCGAACCATGAAAAACGTTTAATTGAATCCATTAGCAGGGTATCTGCCAAATCAGCAAGTCACTTGCTGACGTGGCACACATGTTCCAGCCCAGTCAGCAGTGACTTGGCTGATGTGGCACACATGTGGAAGTCTGATCAGCCATTTTCCGATGACATGGCGCACACTTGGACTGCCACATGTGCGCCACGTCAGCGACTGACATGCTGATATAGCAGATAGCCTGTTAAATGACTCAATTAAACGTAGTTCAAAGTTAAGGGTTTTGATTGTTTTTTTTCAAAATTCAAGGACTAAATTGGCAGTTTTTCCAAATGCAAATGAAAACAAATGAAAACATACACAGTGAGGATTTCAACAAGAATCTAAATTAAATTCATCGAGTGTTTAGCAAACCCATCCCAACATATTTTTTCATCTATACTTTTTTATGTTATCCTTGTATTTCCCTCCTCGTATTCTTATATGAGAAAAATTCAACCAGTCCAAATTCCAATAGATTGGGAGTTTTTTTAATATGTTATAGTGTTAAAAAGTTATTGGTAGGTGGCGAGTTATTAACCATTCCTATAAAACGATTATACAAATAGATGGATGTTAGTAACCTTATCAGTGCACTGGATCACTGGATGTATGATCGATTATTAATGCATTATTTTATCAGCCTGAATCCACAAAGAAACTTGAGCATGCATGCATTTATATAATTGCAAACTTATTTTCATCTATTTGCATACAGTTTCATAGAAACAGTAACTAGAGGCTTACTGGATACTTGACCAATTGGAGGCCGCTTCCTTGGCGAGGGCAACCATGAATTACTTGGATAACGGAAAATTGACTTTGAGTTGATATCTTTTTTTTGAACACACCAAAACAAAAGGTGTTATTCTTCATTTCTCTAATTCCCTTGCTCGCCCCTCTTGTACTTGTGATTAACATGCCTGAGAGAGTTCCAAACACAAAGTGCTCTGAAATATTTGGCATTGGGGATCATACTTTAAATAATCTCTTAGGACCTCCAGATGTCTCTCACTCTCTCTTACAGCTTGAGTAGAAACCTCTGTTTAAGAGTTCAAGAATGCGTAGTGGGATACTTTAAGAAGCTTGCGTTACTATATTTTGAAGCTGAATGATTGCTCTGTACTTACTGGTACTGTGAATTGACACATTCTTTGTTTTATTAGTGCGAGTTAATTTCCGGATCCTTCATTTATGGGCTTGTTCACCTCATTTTTTGTATAATGTTTTTTCAGTTTTTCCCGTTTTTTCAGTTTCATTTCTCTTTAGAATACGTGAGAAGTGTTAATTTCTACAGAGTATTATTTTTCATTTGTTGCGAAAAACTCATCTGGAATTCAATTCTGCATTACCATTTACGATTCCTTTATTTTCAAAAATTCGGACGATCAAAACAGTTGAAATAGAAAAAATGAAAAGGTTATGTACTTCATGACCTTGTGCTTGTTTTTACCATGAATATAGGTTAATTTTGGTTTAGTTTATCTTTTTTTTACAGATTTTTCTTCTTTATATAATTACTCTTTGGGTTAAAAATAGAAAACAACCCTTTCATTATGTAGGTAAGTAGGTTATTTAGGGTGTGTTTGGATCTGATTCTTAAAACTGATTCTGCTCCTTCAAGAAGCAGAATCAGAAGTTGGAGTGTTTGGGTGATAGTGTAGAAGTGATTATGGTGCTCTAATTTACTCCTAGAATCAGTTTTTTTAGAAGTTGGGGGTGACCAGCTTCTGACAATTGATTCTGATTTTGATTCTGCTTTAAAAAAGAAGCAGAATCAGTTCCAAACACCCCTTAATGTTTAATGCTGTGTTTTGAACAAACACAGAAGTACAAAGTAGAGGACGCTATTGAAATGTGTCCCTATTGAAATGTCAATCTGAATGAAAAGCAATTGTTGAAATAGTTGTGCTTATTTTCAGTAATTTGGCAGTGTGGACGCTAGAGTTGAGCTGAGTTTTCTAAAACACCAATAAAAGAACTGAACCAAGTTTCAAAAACATTAGGAAAAATAGAAAAGAATAATCCCAAGTTCCCAACTATTGTCGATCTGCTACTAATAATCCCAACTCACGATTATTCATGGAATCCTGGGTGGACTCAACTATAGAGATCATTTTGCAAAAATAATTTCTAACCTGCAACAACCTGGTATAGCAAGTCAAATTTAAATGTCAACTCTGCATAAGCTATAAATAATCCCAACATCTTCTTTTATTAATCCCAATTATCAACTCTCAATTTTAAACAATATAATAATGTTTTTATAAATTGCCAAATTAAATATATTTAAACTTGTAAAAATAATTATAAAAATTCTACAAATGTATTGAAGTTAAATAAAAATATTTTTAGTCATTTTTTATTTATTTTCACTGAAATTTCATTTTTTTTCTTTTCTCCAATTTATTTTTCCTAGTTTTGTCAACAAGTTATGTCGTTATGATTTTGTATTATTTCCCTTTATTCAATTTTACATTTTTTGTTTTCAAAAAGCATATTGTGATTAAAAAAATTATGATTTAAATTTTTATTCTAATTTTTTTCATGAAAATCAATTTTATTAAATTGTTAGGCTATCTTAACTGTAAAAAATAAGAATTCTCTATTTTTTCAATTTTAGTATTTTTCATTTCTTTCTATTGTCTTTATTTTATGCTATTATATTCTATAAATTATATGATATAGTTATCATTGACTTCTAGTAATTTGGGACACAAGATTTGGAGGTTTTGGCTATGTTAATGAAAATGTATTAATATTTTATTTTAAGTGATACATTTTTTCTACATATTTTACAATTTCCATTATATCATTTAAAATTACAATATTAATACATGTTCATTAAAAATAGCCAAAATCTCCAAAAGCTATGCCCCAAATCACTAAAATTGAATGATAAACTATTTCATATATTTTATAGAATATAATATTATAAAATAAAAAAATAGAAGAAATTACAAATACTAAAATGGATAAAATAGAGAATTTAGATTTTTAGAATTAACATAGCATAAAATTTAAATAAAATATATTTTCAAGAAAAAACTAGAATAAAGCTTTCAATCATAAAAAATTTAGTCACATCTTACATTTTGAAAACAGAAAATGTAAAATTGAATAAAGGAAAATAATACCAAATCATAACTTGTTAACACAACTGGGAATAATAAATTGAAAAAATGAAAAAAAAAAATAGTGAAAATAAATAAAAAATTGACTAAAACTATTTTATTTAAATTCGGTACATTCGTAGAATTTTCATAATAATTTTTACATGTTTAAATTTATTTAATTTGAAAACTTATAAAAATATTTATATTTTTCTAAAATTGAGAGTTGATAATTGGGATTAATAAAAGAAGATCAACTATAGTTGGGATTATTTAGAGCTTATGTATAGTTCGCATTTAAATTTGACCTGCTATAGCTGGTTGTAGCAGGTTAGAGACTATTTTTGGAAAATGGTCCCTATAGTTGGGACCACCCAGGAATAATCAATAATTGGGATTATTAATAGCGAACCGGTAATAGTTGGGATTATTATTTTCAATTTTTCCAAAACATCAAGAGCTCGTTTGTTGACTATGTTTTTTCGATTTATTAGACTTATTTGTTAACCTTTTTACCAACACATAGTTTTTTTTTTATTTCGAGCATTGAATTAAATAATAATAAAAAGTGCGGTCGAAGTTATTTAATTTTTTTTCCATATAATTTATTCTTTATTTTACTAATAAAATATATTTGAAATATATTTTATTTTAATGAATGTAATTATCCAACCGAGTCACTTTTGTAATACCAAGCAGGTTCTAATTATAATGGTTGTATCATACCTGGTATGGCAGAACATCAATTAGGATTCCCTAATAAATTTAAAATTTGGTGAACATACTAACATAAAATTTGGTCGATAGTATGTATTGCACGAAATTGAAGTAAAAAATAAATATTTTTTATTTGATTTTTTTTAAGCTTTCTAAAAAGTGATAGTATTATTTAAGAACATTGATTAAAACACAAGAAATTTTATCAATTTGGGATGTGATAGATAAATGAGCTATCAATAAGAGATCTGAAAATTGAAATGTTTCGATATATGAGCTTGAATGGTTTAAAAGTGTCAATTAAAAACCTAAAATAGCATAGATTTTAATTTATTTAATTTTTTATTTGTTTCCTTGCTAATTTTTGATAAATATTTCTTCACAAAAGTTTATTAGTTTAATAATATTAAAAGGGAAAATGGAAACTAATAATCCAACCTTTTATAGTGGTCTTCTTATAAGAACATAATCTTAGGAGAGAAATGAGAACAAATCTGGACCGTTAGATTTGCTTAAGTGAAATTCAATGTGCATTAGATGAAACTGTAATGTGCATTAGGTGAAATTGAAATGTGCAACACAAAGCGTATGATACAATGTCATTAAGGATGTTTTTACTTGGACTTTAATTCGTCCCAGACCAGACCAGACCAGATCAGATCAGACCAGACCAAACCAGTTCAGACTAGACCAGACCAGACCAGACTTGGATAATTATAAAAATACAAAGAAACCAGACCAGACCAGACCAGATCAGATCAGACCAGACCAGACCAGACCAGACCAGACCAGAGTGAAGCTGAATTGTGCATTAGGTGAAATTGAAATGTGCAGTAGGTGAAACTTAAATGTGCAGAATAAAAGGTACGATGTGATGTTATTTTTGTACATTTTTATTCCGCACATTTCAGTTTCACCCACTGCACAATTGAGTTTAAATTTTTATTCTGCACATTTCAGTTTCATCAAATGCACATTTCCGTTCCACATAATACAATCCAACAGTCCAAATTCGTTCTTATTTCTCTCCTGGAGTCCGTTCTTACCGGAACCGCTCCCTATATATATATGATGGAGTATATGGCCCGGGAACCCCCGGCCCACAGACTCCTACTACTCCAGCAAAGGCCCAACAGGCCCAACAGGCCCAAATCACAGCGCCCAGAGTACCAAGCAGTCCGCACAACGCACAGGGGTGCCTTCGGACCCCTGGCCGAAGGCTCCAAATTGTCACAGAGCGGGTTTCTCAAGCAAATTAGGAAACTGGGAGAAAACGGCGAAAACAGCAGCCCTCGGCACCAGGGTGCCATCGGGCGGGAGAGCCCTCGGTTACTGCTCTATAGCCGAAGGCATCTCACTCGACAAGATATCTGCCTCACATGCGTACAGATCACCGTACCCCGCACAGACGTCCCGTCCAACAGCCGCATTAAATGCGGCCACATGCGGCTGCCAGCGCCAACCAGTTGAGGTGACCCCTCGGCCAATGAGCGCTTGACACGTGTCCCTGCCCGGCATTTATTGCTACTATAAATAGCACCCCATTTCCCCATTTGTAACCACGCTGAAAACGCTCCACATTTATAATACACTGTCTCTCTCTCTATATTTACTTGCTCTGACTTCTCTCTAAGTTATTCCCCGTAGTAACCCTTCGGATATATACCCCCGGGTAGACTATCCATCATTTGGTGCTCTCGTTGAGAGGTTGAACAATCGAGTAAGAAACCCTCCCCCTCGACCAAACACAAAACACTAGCCCTCTATCAAAATGGTGAGGACAACGCGTGCCAACTCAAAGAACGTAGAAGACAAGAACCTGCCCCTCGGCGACGTCAACGCCCCCGAAGCCTCTCACAGGGCTCCCGAGGGCGGTGTCCTCGCTGGGCTGGAACAGGCGGCTGTCGACCTACGCCTTCAGATCCAACAAAACGCCCCCGATGCCCGCCTCGGCATCGAGGCCAAGAAGAAAAACCGGAGCGATGACCAAGTCAGCCCTCCGGTTCTCACCATCGACGTACAATCGGCGCTCTCCGCCTTCATCCAAACGCTCACCCAGAACCCGGGTGCCTTCGGCACCCTGGCTCCAGCTCACCCTCAGATCGGGGAAAATATCGTACTTCCCCCTCTGCCACACCCCTTCGGAAATCCCACCCCTCGGGTGAGAAACGACGAAGGGGTGGTGGCCCAAGAAACATCCTCCCAGGAAGTTCAGTCCCGGGACCGCCATAATGACAACAGGGAGAGGCCCCGTACTTCCGCCCTCAACCGGCTCGGAGGAGGGCCAGACCGCCTCGGGGGGAAAGCACTCCAAAGGCCCCAGGAAAGCGGGGGATCTGTTTCGAGGGCAGACGAGGAGCGTCCCCCTCGGGACAAAGGCAAGGCACCCCTTCATGCCGATGATGCTCGGCACCAAATCAAC